GAGTTTTCAGTCAATTACATTGGAGTTTGCTCTTCAAATGCAATAAGGTTTAATTAGTAACTATTCCTATCTACACCTAACGGTAACAGCAGAACAAGATGAAGTCTTTTGTTACAAAGTCAGGTGAACACACAGCATGGCAGCAAAACTCAGGACCAAAAGCTGCACAGTTAAGTTCTTCAGCAGTTTCACACACAATACTGACAATTTACTGAAGCAACAGAGGAGGAAGAAAAGCAGCATGGTCACAGGCTGACCAAAAAGTTCATTTAGCCCAGTCTCCTCTTGCTCTTAAGGGTAAGACCAGCAAGAATAACGTCCAGTAGGGGAATCCTGAAGAAAGACTAAAACAGAGATAGCCCAAAATAATGCTGCTCCTGTGTGCTCTCCCAGTTCCCTCCTTCCAATTTTGGGGTATACAAAAATGTACACACCAAGCTGAAACCCAAAACACATTTCATTTAACTTACTATACATTTTCTGAATTAATGGCCTGAATAACTTACAGAAGACTTAATACATTGCTTTGGACTAAAACTGTTTCATCTACTTAATTCTCTAAATTTCTCACACCTACCAGAAAGGTGACCAGAAATCCAACAGGTGATGTTGTTCTCCAAGTGGCAGCAAGCTCACTGCGTCTGCCCACTGCTGTCCTGCCGAGCTCAGCCACGAAAACCTGACCCTTCATGAGATGCCAACCTCTTGCCCAACCAGCATATTTCGGGCAAGTATTAAAAGCCCCAGTGGTACCCTTGGAAATGGGAGACAGAACCACATTGTACAGCCAGTACTTACCTCATTAGGAGAGATGCAATGACCGCAGCTGATGATATTGTAACGGGTGCCTGAAAGCATTATGGCACATTTACCTGCAGTCACCGTATTACCAGCATCTAGTACCGTTTAATGTAGCTTAACCGCTACTCCAAATACAAAACCACAAACTGTATCATGTATGTTCTGCAGGCTGAAAGTAACAAAATATCTGTGGGTTCCGGGACTGATCTAATGAGGAGACACACAGGAAAAGGAATTTTACTGCCAAGTATTGTTTCTGGGTTTTGTTCATGTTGCCTTACACAATTACTTAGCTGAGAAATTAAGGGTAAGGACATTTATCAGTATTTCCATAGGATTTCTTCTGCCAGCAGGAATAGTTACTTAAACTTATGCTCTTTCATGATGGAGATTTATCAGAGATATAGTCATGTTAAAACAAAGAAGGAAGATTTGCTCCTCTCTAGCTTAAAACTTTTTGAGTAGCTCTTTGATGCCAGTGTGTTCCTTCTAAACATCAGTGCTGTAAAAATTCAGGAGTTCTTTCTGATAATGTATATATTAAGCCAAGGCTTATACCATCTTCAGTGAGAACACACAAATTTCTTCTAATTTTTTTTCAACTTACTCCCACACAGGTATGCTATGCTAGTAGGCAGACAATAAGGTTAGTGTTAACAAAATTAATCCAGGAACACTTCTTCCTGGAGGATGAGAAAATGTTACCTGTTCCGAGGGTGGGTTTTTTGGTTTGTTTTTCTTTTAAATGCGGTATTTACAGAGGGAAACATCAAGAATCCTCCCAGAAACATCTACATAGGGATTCATTCACTAGTGCTACCGTGAGTTTGCCAGACCAGCAGTCTAAATTGAATTTCATGTTAACACTCAAACAATGATTCATAGTATCATTCTGCATTAAACATCTGAAAAGAACATTTTTGCACCTTTCCAGATTGCACCCTCAACCAATATGGTTTAATGAGGTGAATAAATATTTGAAATAAAAACAAAATACAAATATTTAAAAATATTTTTATTAAAATATCCTGCCCCAGTCAATGATACCAACTGAATTATGTTTATGAAGTTGTTCTAGGGGTATTAAGGGTAGTGCCTCTCCTCTCTCTTTAGCCACAGACACAAAGATCAGAGCTCAGGTGTGGGGCAGTATTCTGATGCAGAAAAAGAGAAAAGATTGTTGGTGAAGGCTTTAGATCCCAAGTCTTAAACATCAATGAAATGACTGTACTATTACAAAGTGTGTATTAATTCTTATTTCTGATTTTCCAAGATTTCAGCATTTGTAAAAAAAGTTTAGCAAAGATTTGTCCTGGGCAAAGTATTATGTAAACATCCAATTCTATGTGTCAACACAGTTCTGTTCAGATTAAGCACACTAGCGCATAGTTACAAAATTTAGCACCCAGAGCATGCATGTTTATGACTGGGTAGAAACACATCTATACAGAGCTTTTAACTTTTAATGTGCATATGAAGTGTACCACAGAAATATCCACAGTATCTACAGCTCTGAACAAAAGCTACTTTTTTTTTAAACCTCACTTCAAATTTTCTAGTCATAATCAAGTAAAGGTGTTTTTTCTGCACAGTTGAACAGCTGACTTCACAAAAGCATTGCAAAAAATGAGTCTGTATTTCTGCTTATTTATTTTGTAAGCCGGAAAGGCTTTAATTCTCTCTAAGTTTTGAGGAATCAAGTAGCATCACGCAAACTGCATCCAATGTATTTTTCATGCACAATACATAAGTGTAATAAAAAAGCACAATATACACCTTCAGATGGTCAAAACTGATTAGCTTTCATCCCTCTCAATTACATCTACACATGAACAGAAGAGGATCTGATATAGTCCTACAGCTCCTGTGTACTTCTGAACTACCACAAAGGAGATTCCAGCTCCAGTACTAGGCTTGGTAATAATCAACAACGAAATATGAATTTTCTCATGACAGACCAGGAGCTGCATTTGTCCAGTGTGTATCTAGTATTAGGCTGGACTTAATGTCTCATCCTACTATCTCAGTGCATATAAAAGGTTCAAAATAATGCCTGCCTCTGCCAGACCAATCCCAGGCTACATTCCCCACAGATAGTCCTAAAGTTATGAACAGTTGTTCCAACTAAAGTGAAGCCATTTTATACTTACCGAAGATTACTGAATGTTTAAAGATACCTGCACAGAACTCACTGGAAAAAAGGTTTGTAATGGTTAAACTGGGATGAAATCATAAATATAAGCTTTGCCTCATGAATTTATCTTTATCTAACTTAAATGTTATACATTTCCCTATGAACTGCAAAAAAAATAAATGGGATGGTATTTTTTGTTACTCTTCAATCAAATGCAGGTTGTTGTTTCTTTCTCTCTGACTTAATGAAGAAAAGCTTTTCCCCCAACTGTTTTCTCTCCAAAAGGCCATCATCCCATTTCACTTTTTTTTCCCCAAGTAAGACTATAAAATGCAGAGAATGCAAATTGTAGAATAATCTCAAAACTGATCCAGCAACAGGAAGTGTTCAGTCCAAATTACCTCCTTCCAGGGCCTTTTTGCTTTGGGATGACACAGCTGTACTGTACAAGACCTAGTCTAGAGATTTCACACCACTAGTGCTTGTGAAGAAAGCCACCTAATTATGGTAAGTCATTAAGTAAATTAACGAGCTGCTCTAGAATATCTTTTATTTCCAAGTAGTTCAAAATTAAACTATTAAGGATCTATCTGTTTACTGATACACACTTTTATTAGTGTTGTTAGTTTAAAATCCTTAGCACCTGCTCTGCAGGCTCTCAGAACTGAACTTGAAGTCCAGAAATGAACTGCAATGTGAGGAGAAAAGGACACACCTGAGTGCTTTAGAAGCAAACAAACAGAACACTTTGTCACATGTCTAAAATGCCTGTTTGATTTCTTTCTTTAAAAACAAACATTTACCATGAAAAAAAGCCTTTCCTGGTTTTGCTAAAAGTCTTCTCTGAGGTCACAGAAAACTGCAATTAACACTTCCTTACTCTCCATATTCTGACAAGGTCCTTTGTTTCAATGACTGGATTGTATAGGCCAAATAAACTTTGGTTATAATTTTTTTTTTTCTAGTTAGAAACTATTTTTTGTTATTTAGCATTAAAATCTAAATTTGTATTTTATGACATATAGCACTTTCCATGAAGGTGGTACACAGAAATTCTAGCATTTCAGATAAAAAGAGCAATTAAAATCACCTCAGGATTTTATACACTGCACATCAATATAAAAGGTTCTTTGTTCCTTCGGGTGGTCATTTAAAGAAATATATTATACACAGGTAAGGATAGATCCTTAAATGGCAGGTGTTCTTGTGTAAGATGGCTCAGAATGTCCATGAGTTAAAATTATAAGAATAGGAAGTACACTCTTCTGCCTTTTTATTTCTCTTTAAATTATTGAGATGTTATTATCATACAGCTGCAAGGAAGATTAATTACCCAAGTATGTGGAAATCCTAATTCCCCATCTAGTAAAAGGAAATGCAGCACTGAAAACTAACCTGTTATTTGGTTTTACTTGTAAGCAGTTTAAGAAATGTTTTATGGAATAAGAACATTAAGAAACTAAGAAGGTAAGACAGTGAAGTTAAACCAAGAATTAATTTGTTCTCACTCAGTAAGTTTATTCTGGTCACTCTTATTTTAATTGTAAGCTTAACTAAATAATCAATGAACTTTCAGTTTAGCAAAGGAATAAGCAGGCCATTTTCCCCCATTTTTTAAGGTTTAGTTCAGCCTGGTGAATTGTAACAGCTGAATTTTCACTGACCAGTGAGAGCAGAATAGAGCCTTTGAATATGCTGTTACATTAAAAACAAAGTAAGCACTTTTACAGCAATGTATTTCACTGTAGAAAGTGTTGATATGTAAGGAAGAATTTTTTCCTGCAAATTTGAGTGGCTAAGGAGACACCTGCAATAAATACAAGAAGTATGCCACAAGCGTTTCCACTTCTGGAAGGAAAGCATATCAGCAGTCTGAATTAAAATTACATTCAGTGTAAGGGAAAAAAAGGGTGGTGGTAGGGGAAGAGATGCTGCCAAGTATCACAACTTAAGCAACCTTGCAGGTTGGGGCAAAGCCTAGTCTTTCTTGCATTGAAATTCTGATCAGCAGTCACAAAAAAAAGTAGAATTAGGCCATTTCGTTACAAATAAAAAACCTTTCAAAAACAATCAAATAAGATTTTTATTTATGTTACACTGCACAACAAACAGTAGGACTAGACAAGTGGGCAACTGCATTTTATTTTCTGCATTTTGATAGTTCTAAGTTGTATGTTATGCTCTAGTCCAGAAACTGTCTTTACAAAACTAATTTAATTGACTACTACAGGAACCATGCTGGATTTATAGAATCATCTTCTGGTAAAAATCAGTGGCTATTTCATGCCTAAGTAAACTTAAAATAATCTTTTGTTCCATAGATAGGCATATATTGCACATAACAGCCTGCATACCATCTAAAAATGTGGGCTGATTGTCACCTTGGTGTTGGTAGGAAAACAGTTGCCTTATCCAATATTCCACAGTTGTATGAACAAAATGTATTTTAACATGATTTCTATTCACAGTTTAAGTGAATCATTTCCCTTTTAATTCCCCACCCCCAACTATTCATTTATACACAGATGAGCAAAGCACTTTGATGAAAGTAGGTTCCAGAATAGACTGAAAGTCCAGAATTTGCAAGTTTATTTTTGCAGATAGGAATGATATAAAACAAGGAGCCAAAAAGAAAAAAAAGCTTTTTTCTTTTTACATGTTTGCTTATTTTAAACATCCTTTGATCATCTCTCCTCCCCCAAATCAAAACAACCCCAAAGAACCAGACAAGGATAATGTAATTAATGCAATTAATTTAATCCAATCTTAATATGTCCCTGAGAACCTCACACTTTGCAAAATATTCTTTGCTAATGTACACCCCATGCCATGCTTCTTCAGATAAGATAAAGCCCCATACAAATTAACAGATTTTTTACCATGATATTATCATGTAGCACCCAAAATACATTGTCAGCATATATATTCAGACATGCTTCAGTGATAGGTGCATCTTCAATCAAGAAGTCTGTATGACTAAACTAATTCTGCCTACTGTAAAAAACAATTTTCTTTGTCCTATTGATTCTGAGACAGTCCTTCTCAGAGAATACCATATTAAGATATATAGTATTTCATCCTTAAAATTAGGTATTTGTCAGCAGTAGTATCTCAATGGGCTTTAATTAGTAAAAACATAAACACAATTAGTACTGAAGGAAATGGGTTATTGTTGAATATTCTTCAATAAATGCATTCCATCTAAGTGCCTGTAAGTTCAGTTAGGCTGAGGCCTAGCCATTTTTTCTGGAACAGATTTGTATCACAATGAAAGGCTAACCATCTGAAAAAAAAAATACCAAATAAGAGGAAAATTTAATTTGCATCTTATCTATTTCCCTAACAGACCAACATTAAATCTGCCTCACTTACTAAGTGCAATGACCTATTTCTTCTTTTTGGGAGGAAGGTGGTGGGGCTGAAATTGCTGGATATTGTTTTGTCTGCATGTGTTATGATGTGTTTTTTTCATAGTAACCTAAACACTTCTTGTTTCAATTAAATAAGCCTTATTGCACAAAGAAGAATTTCAGATTTTTATTCAAAAAAAATGCAAGAAAATCAAAGATCTAACATATGGAGGTTTTCAGAGTACATCAGTCATTGTATGGCAAATCCCCATAGCCTCAAGAAGTATGTCTTGTAAAGGTTGTATTTATAAACGAGTGTTGGGGATGGGGAAAGGAGGTTTGTATTTATAAAAAAAATTATTGATTCTTTGCTAAAGCAACTAATTCTTACCATTTTTAGATTCTGTTAAGTCTTGGGATTGCAGTTTCTCTCAAGTAGCACAAGGAGAACAATCTGAAAACAATTTAAAAAAATGAAAAATGAAAAAAAAAAGTAATTCCAACTGTCGCAGTATTTAATAGGTATTTTTTGCCAGCATAACAGTGGGTGAGCCAACTATAAGCTTCAGTGGCTAAGATTAAAGTCATGCAAATTATTCTAACCACACGTATGCTCATATATCACGCGTCTCTGCACTTCAGTGGTCTGTAGGCTTAAATTTAGGACAAAGGAATCCCTGGTACCTGGATTTGCAGAACCCCATGCTATTCTTAGTGCTTGGTACATTTCTGAAGAGCACTATACCTTATGGTTAACACACCTAAAAATCAGTCAAGAGGACAAAATAAGTCACCCTATGCCTACTGTAAAGGTGGTCCATTGTTCCCAGGCATACTACAACAAAGTGTGGTTTTTTGCAATCAAGAAACAAGTATAACAGTGTCAGGCTTTCACAATGTAATGGCCCAGAGAGTAGGTATTTTTGGAAATGGCACTGCATTACATAACCTCCAGTTTCCTCTCTATTCCACACACCCCCTTATTTTAAATAGGGAGAGAAAAAATAAAAAGAGAATGTCCTACCTCATTTAAATGGTACCTTAAATTACCACTCTTATTTGACTGAATTTGTACATACCTCCTTTATCAGTTTTCATACAGTGACAGAAATTAAAGTTCTCTTCTACTGATTATTTATTTCTTACCTATAGTGTGTATGTATGAAATGCAATTAAGTATGAGTCATATGTTTACACACAAATACACACATACATATTGGATTTAAAACTGCAAACTCATGTATCTATAAATGTAGACAGAAACGTTTAAAAGAAAGCACATCACTAAATGTTCACCAAAATGCTGTTGGTTTGGTTTTTTTTTTCTCAAAAGAACCACCCAAAATTTAACTGCTGCACATGCAAAAATGCAGGAGGCTGTTGCAAGAATGACTGCTTTCTAAAAATAAACCCCAGCAGCCTGAGAGGAATCCAGTGTCAGGGCGGAGAAGAGGGAGATTCGTTTTACAAGGGAGAAGAAAAGAGGTGAAAAACCAATCCTAGAGCTTTGCATGCATGCTAAAAAAGCTAAGTGCATTAGGTTCAGAAATGCATTTTGGTGTTTGCAGAGTGCAAAAGCAAGAAAAAGGAAACAGTTTTAGAAAATCACTTATCATCTCCCCTTGCATGTGTGCAGAAAAATCCCCAGCCTAGAAATCCAGCCTTAAAGCATAAAGACAAAGAGTTAAATACATATACTGCACGTTTTCTCATCTTCTTTAAGAAAGCCTGTTTGGAAATGTGCACCGAGAGGGGGAAAGACAAGCTGCAGCAAAGTCCAGCTAAGGACAAAAGGAAATTAAAAGAAACAAAGGAAGAAAGAGAGAGAGAGAGAGAGAGAGAGAGAGAGAGAGAAAGAGTGAGAGAGGATTAATTAAAAAAAAAATAAATTCTGTGGATTGGAATTGCATATACTTACAGACAAAAGCCCCCGCTCCCTGCTCACTTTCTGTCCTTTCTACATGATGTGAAACACAAATGTGGATTAAAAAAGGGCAGCATGCTACAGAAGGGAATTTATAGTTGGGGGAGTGGAGAGAGGGTAGGGGGAGTGGGGAAGAATGACTGCACCTCTTCCAAAGTGCAGCCTTGGAGAAAAAAGAAAAAGGGGTGGGGGTGGCTGGGGGAAAGTCTCTCTCTCTCTCTCCCTCTCTCTCAGGCTGGATTTCGGTTGCCAGTGCTGCTTATATTGAACAATGAGCTAATTCTGATGGTAGCTGGCTGGCTGCCAGCTCTCCCCCCCCCCCCCCCGCCCCCCCTCCCGTCCCCTCCTTACACATACACACTCCCCCTGCCTGCCTGCCCGCCCGCCTCCCCCCGCCCGCCGCTGCAGCGCCAGACTGCTTAGTCGGCAATAATCCGCAGCCCCGCGTCCCCCCGCTGTCTGGGAGCCCGGGCAGCGACCGCCCCGCCGCCGGCCGCGCTCCGCCGGGCAGCGCGGAGGCCGGCGGGGCCCGCGGCGCTGAGGGGAGCGGCGGGGCCCGCGGCGCTGAGGGGAGCGCCCCCCGCACCCCCCACCCCCCCCAGCAGCAGCGCGGCGCGGGCCTGGGCGGCGGCCAGGCGCGGAGCGCGGCCAAGGCGCTGCACAGCGGCGCGGAGCGGCGCGGAGGGGCGGGGGAGCGAGCAGCCACATACTGTAATAATTACCCTGCAGCGGCAGCGGCGGCAAAGGGCATCTGAGGAGAAGGGGAGGGAGACGGAGGCAGCCGCCCGCCCGCCGCTTCGCCTCGCCTCTGCCTGCGCCGGTCTGGGAGGGAAGAAAATGGTGGGCGGGGAGGAGGGGGCGCCGCGCCGTGACACGGGCCGGAGGGGGCCGCGGCGGGGACCGGCCCCCCGCGGCCAGGGCAGGTGCGGAAGGGGCCGCCGAGGGCTGGGTTCCGCCGGCGACCTGTCAGCCGCGGAGCGCCGGCCGCCCGCCGGGCCGGAGCGCGGCGGGGAGGGCGGCGGGCCGCCGCGCCAGCGAGCTCCTCCGGACGCTGAGGAGCGCGGCGGGACGCGGGGGGAGAGCGGGGAGCGGCCCCCGCGGGACGGCTGAGGGGAGAGCGGCGCGGTGGCCGCGGCCCTGCAGGTGCAGCCGGGCCTCGCAGCGGGGCGGGCGCGGGCACCGCCCGTGGGGACATGAGGCGGTGGCGTGGTTTGCTGTATCAGTGTAGCAGTCGTGGTCTAGGCTGGAAAATCGTATAAAAGAATACGAGTCACTCACTCAGACTGCAGAGGGAGCAGAGGGCGGCGGAGGTGTCCCTGGGCTCCGCGGGGTCCTGGGTCTCACTGCCCAGCAGCAGCTCTGGTCCAGGTTCCCCACTCAGGACTCGTAACCGCATGATTTTATGGACAGTGTTCGGGGTGTGGTTACGCTTCCCTCTTCGGTGATGGGGTCATCACTCACACGGGGTTGGCCGGGTGCCTGGCACCTTCAAGGCCGGCAAGGAGGGGGGTGATCACTCTGGCGCCCAGGAAGCTTGGGGCTGGGAAGGAGGGGGGATGAAGAGATGTTTGGTTTGTCTGCTTGCTTCACAGGACCTTCAGAGCCTGATCATGAGAGAAAGGGAAAGAATATGTGACCCACTCTGTCACAGAGGCTGGCTGCTTGCCCTATAAAATGGCATTAGTAATGCCAAACACGTTACCAGGGGTTGGGAGCAGGGAGTACTGGTCACAGATGCTGAAGTGGACTGAACATGCCAAAGTTAGTAAAGCATGTTGGATGTAGTGTGGCGTTTCCTGAAAAGTTGTGGGGAAGAGAGAGATGGGCTCCCAGCTAGAGCTGCGGTATCTTTCTCCCTCCCCTGCTCCCTCAAAACCCTGTGTGCCCAGGTACTGTAGTCCTTTCTCCATACATACCCCTTCGTGCCCCTGCATCCCATTTGAGAACCTACACACAGCCTAAAGTTCTTACTGGAACCATCAAGAATGGTTGTAGGTGGGTATAGACCTCTATGTGAACCCTTAAAGACTTAATTTTATTCCCAGTAACTTGGTTTCTTAGTCCAGGTAAAGCAACCTGGTTTGCTGTGCTGTTTGGATTTGACAGTATCTGGAAAGTCATACTTGCTTGTTGCCTGTGACAAACTTAAGTTGCCAGGGTCTGCTCGAAGTCTGCACTGTTTAGTTTGGACATAGTGCCTTGAATTCTTCCTTAGCCAGCTTCCATTAACCACTCTGGTGAAAACTAGGAAATGAAGGTTTAGTTGTTAAGAGGAATAAGAGAGCAAAGCCTGCACAGAGAAGGAGGCAGTCTGTCCCCACCATGGGACAGGAAGGATTCTGCCTCTCCTGGTTCTGGAAATGTGATTACATGTCTAAGGTTTGTGAGACAAAAGCCTAACGTGGAAGACATTGACCCCTGACAATGAAGTGGAAACAGAGAAAGGTTAAGAGTCAATTCAAGTAAGCTGTTAATACTGAAGTGAAAATATCTTTAAAAAATGCTTCACTCCAATTATTTGTCAAGAAATACACAAAAAAAAATGTCTGCATTTTTAGATTGCATCTTTGTTAAAGTGGAAAATAGCATTAATATTCTGAGAAACACCAATAGATGACCAGTCTATTAGGGAAAAATACTGCTCTTTCTAAGTTGCTACCTTGTGAGGAAGCAGAAATCTTTTTGCACCTGCAGCTGCATCTTCATCCTGACTGTGAGTCCGCTGCCAGCCTTTCCTCTTTTAGCCTCTAATCACTCATATAAAACTTCGTTATTACAAGTGCGGCATTCAGGTAAATTGTCCTGCTGTCTTCAGGGAAATACATTTAACCCCAAGCCTGATTTCTATACCCCGTGGTTGCCAAAACCAGCCTGAGTTTGTTCTGCAGTCAATTGTGCATGGGGAGGAAAAGTTTGTTCCTTTTGCTACCTCTCATCTCTGACCATTTCCTTTGATTGTTTTTCTTTTTCCCTTTATTTCTCTCATTGACCTGATTTATAAACCCTAAAATGAGAAAAGCCCTGATCTACAAAGCATTATGATTATACAAATTGCCTAAAATGGGCTTGCAAAGCAGACAGGGCAGAACAGGCCCTTGCTGCTGAGGGGAAGGTAAAAGCAGCAAAACAAAGATTTACTGTTAATGAATCAGCAGCTGGGAAACTCCATAGGTTGCAATGAATTGGCATAAAATAGTCACCAGAGAAACTCTGAAGTTGTCCCTCCCAGTTCTGACAGGGAGTGGAGAAGCTGTATCCTACACTATGTGCCACAATTCCCACTCATCTCGCCTCCATCCCTCAGCCATCCAATTCCAACATTGTACACAACACATGAAACTCAAACAACTCTGGTCTGGAAATGGGTCAGGTTCAAGCCTGGCAGAGGCAGTGTAGAGAGCTGCCCACTGGATTGGTTGTGGATTGCCTGGAGCCCCTGAAATGAGACAGCAGGAGGGAGGCACCCAAGGTGCCGGGTGAAGCTGGTGGTTTGGCAACTGGAGCCAGGTCATGCATGCAACTTACTGTAAAACCATCCAAAACCCCAAATTTGGTTATGCTTGTCAGCTTTTGGGAATGTGCAGCTGCCATTAATGATACCTGCACCACTGCAGCACTCCCATGGATATATCCTGAAAGCACCACATGGCACCGAAAAGAAACCATGTAGGCATAAAGATACATCATATGACAGCTTTCCTTTCTTGCACATTCTTCTGCCTCTTGCACTATTCCTACTCTTAAATTCTATTCATCAATAAATTTAAGGGAGAAAGTAGGTAATTCCGTTGTTGCATAAAAAAAAAATCCTTTGAAATATTTTCATAGACATAAAGGGGGCAATGTAGATTGCAAATTAGCTGTAAGAAATTATGTGTGATATTTTTGTGGCAACTGCATGGAAGTTAGAGGGGAAGACTACCCATTAACTGACTTTTTAAGAAGGCATAAACTGTGGGTTCTATTTCCAGTTTAGTTTTCTGGGGGCTGGATTCGGAGAGTTTCTTTTTCTTGCTAATCTCCAAATCTATGAGAATTTTGTTTTCATTTATTTTTATTACCAAACAAAATGAGCTATGCATAAATAACTGATGAAACCGAGTTGTCTGGAAGATTTCCAATTAAGATTAGTTTGTTATTAAATAAACAAAATGTTAAGGATTTTTTACCGGTGCTCCACAGAAGACAGCTTGGATGGAAGAACTGTACATCAACTGCTATCTGAACATGTGCACTTTTAACAAACTGAAGTCCCTCACACTTCCAGAATGGATTATTGGTTCACCTATTGCAGTTCCTCTGCAATAATGACTGACACTGAACACTCAACAGGAAGATGTAAAATATGCATAATACTTCAAAAATTTACTTCAAAAGGAAGAAAAATCATGGCAAGGCCTGTACAGTTAGACTAGTCCCCTTGAGTTCAGTGGAGCTACCTACATGTATGCAGTTAAGTACCCTGCGGAGGTCAAGCATATCAAGGTTAAAGTGAAAGTCTATATCCACTAAAATTCTAAGGAATTTTGCTATGGACTGAGATAAAGTGCTTTTCCCTTAGACCAGAGAAATAGTTTGAAAATATTGTAGAAGGAAAAAGCAGAACGATTTAATCCAGATTTGTGGCTACAGAGAGAAAAAAGTGTAAAAATGGAGCAAATTTCAGCCCTGAGACACGGTGAAGTGAGCAGAGCTCCAAAAGCAACAGTAAATGGTAAAAAAGAGTTGCTATAGAAGGAAGGGAAAAGATACCAGTACTGACTGTTCATTTCATTTTAGTCAATATCAATTCATGATTTCCAGCTTTGCAGTTGTACATTTGGAAAACAACAGCCACAGTACCAGTGCAGGCCTAAGAGTTCAGATAAAGGCCCGCTTTGCACTTGCAGAGCAAGGAGCAGAAAGAAGTGGCTACAGTGGCTTGCTTGCCTGGTACTCTTCCCCTGCATGTGCTCTTGCTGGATTCCAATTCAAGAGTGCTCCCTTGAAGCATACTGTCTCTGTGATCCGGTTAACTCCAGCAAGCCCTAGTCATGTTTAAATTATATAAGCTGTCAGACTGGCTCTTAAAAGTTGTGGCTGTTTGTGCTGTATGAAGAAAAAAAAAAAAAAAGCTATGTCTCATATCTCCTACCTGTCAAGTCAATTGATTATCTCCTAATTCTTACATTTGAGTAAACCAGAATAATGATTCCCTAATTCGAGTTCACAATTCCCATGGGTTTTACAGGAAGTTAGGGTTTCTATTGAGGAGTCAGACCTAAAATGCAGAAAC